ATATACTTTATTTATTACCTGGAGATGACTTAACAAACACAAATAAACCATAAATTGTCGCAATCGTATGTTTAATGTCTTCATGTTTCCAAACGTTTCTGTTTTCTGTGAAAACAGCTGTTTTCATACAGGATAGCTGGACGCCTTTGTCCATATTAGGGATCTCCTGGTACGACTTTCTGCGCGAGAGCGCCCTCCGGCTTCGAGTATGAATGAAACATACACTGCATGAGTATTTAGCGCTCCGTGATGTTCATCTCGCCTTATTCTGGGTCCGAATAAAACATCAGATCATGCACAGACTATCCTGTCTCTTTGAATTTAAATCTATATTTATTCACACCGGCTCTTGAAAACCTCTATGCGAACACACTTGCCCGAAAAAGTGCGGGGGACGAATTTACGTGATATTAAAAGTGGGGGGGGGACACGTCCCTGTGCCTAACTATATACTATGCTGCCATAATCAATCATAGGTCTAATCATTGCACAATATATTGTTATCATTGTTTCCTTAATGTACGGTATTTTGTTTGTAATTTACTAATCTTCTTTATATATATGTTCATGATTATCTGTACTCCCTTGATCTTAATGTTCTCCTGAAAGTCTTTGTATATTTGTATTTGTTATAAATCTGTTTTTGAATAAATAATAAAAAACAAAAAAACAAAGTTCGTTTGGTGCTGGAAACAGCTTGTCTACCACTGGTCTGTGGCGCTGTGGAAAGCTCCGCTGGTTAAGTTCTTCTGTTCAGTCCAACAAGCTCAGATGTGAGTAAAGCCAAACACTGGAGAACTGCTTTAGAGGTGAAATTATAGCTGCTAGAGTAGAGTGGGGAAACACCCTTAAGCACTGTGCAATGTGTGTGTTTTCTTTCTGTGAAACAAAAGTTAAATGCGTCCAGAATAGTTATCATAGTTTTAGTGACAAAGACATAAATTATAAACCAAGTATAAAAAATGTCTAGAGTTTTCATGTTTAATGTCAGATTTAAAAAAAAAAAATGAAGGTGGGGTAAAAGGCCCCCAGTCTGACAAAGCAATTTGATTTATACATTCACAGCAAAATCAGAGCTTAAAATGAAAAAGAATATAATCAATAATTATGAATTACAAAAATATTGGAAAATATTGTTAGCTGATGCTAGCTGGCTAGCTAACTAACTACCTGACGCTAACTTGAGGTCATTTTTGAATATAGTCCAAATATTGTTTTCGCTAACATTATGCCACTGCTCAGGTATCCCAAACTTCTGTTTACCCCTAAGTGAAGAACATTTTAAAGTATGAAAATGAATTTTTTACATTAACTTGAGTAATATTTCCTGGTTTATTTCTAACACAAATTCTGACAGAAAATGTATGTTCATTGAAGGTCAGTCATAATGTTAGTTCAGTAGTTAATTCAACTACTAGTGTACCAGCATATTTTAGCATGTGTTGAATCAACATAAATCACTGAATCAGCAAAAAATCAAGATATATGAACATTTGTAGAAAGATTTAGTAAAAACCTGCCTGTAAAAACGAATGATGAAATTAACTTTCAAATACAGTGCTTGATAATGCATAATATTAATTATGCCTCACCATTTTATGCTTAAAAATATCTGGAAGCACATTCAAAATTGTATGAATACAAAAGTGAAATTGAAAACATGTTTCCCCTTATAGTTAAAGGTAAAAAGTGTTTTTTTTTTTTAAGAATATAAAGTCTCAGTGCAACACTTAAGCAGAGACAAACATCTTAAAACAACTCATACAACATTTCCATGTGGCATTAAGATGCATTTGTGTTTACCAGCCGAGATGTTTGTATCTCAGATGCATCTCCTGTGAGCACTTATAATCATGGGAGTGCAGAGTAATGTGCACACGAACAGTCAAACCAGACAAACCATGTTACCTTTCTTCCACGCAATAGGCTAAAGGAGGCGAATGAAACGAATAAAGATGACAGCTAGCACCACTTGTGATTGCATCATGAAAATGCATCTTAATTCCAGGTGAAATCAGGGCCAAACAATATAGCAAAATAGTTATTACCTTACAAAACATGGTTTTGATAGAAAGCCTTGCTTGCTGTATGAACTCAACGTGTTTGGTACAGTTGAAAGGAAACAGCCAACAGACTGATTGATAAGTTTAAGGTTTGCGTGTGATTTTCAAACATGTTTTCAGAGAGAATGGCTTGCCGCAGGCTGCTCTTTGACCGTGTGCATGCTGCACGCTGGGATCTTGTTTGGCTGGAGAGTTTTACTGTAGTGGGAATGCCAGTCTCGTTCAAAGACAGCTTTCATCCGTTCAACCACAGTCGAGTTGTTCTGCTCCACCTGCTGACTGATCACCACACCAACACCGGCGCTGTAGACAAACTCGTTGCCCACCCAGTTTAAATTCCCTGAGAGCCCAGAAACATGGTTTTAGGAGAAGACATGATTCAAACACGTTTTCCCCCTCAATTCACAATATGACTTCAGCAGCTTAATCCATGCGGAGGATGCTCTCACCTATATACACAGATCTGTCTGTCACCATGTATCTGTTGTGATTCATTCCATAGAGATCTCCATTGCTCTGCTTCTGTGGAATGAAGAACTTCTACAAAAAGAAGAACAGAGTACATACTTCGTCAGTGACAGCAGTCCAGCCACAGAAGACATTTATAGCTAATGAAACAAAAGCTGATAATTCAGAATCATCCATGTCACAGACTACTTGTTGAATGTTGTATCTGGACATAAACACAAATGAAAAATGGACTGTAGCAAATCATATTTCTGATACATCTGTTCAAATAAACTGCCACTGACTTGCAGCACTTCTATATCTTGTCTTAAATCAAGTGGTAAGCAGTGATCAGTCCCTCTGATTCATCATCACTTAATTTAATTCTATGCACCAAAAAGATTTATTCCGATTCATTCATTGTCTTTCTCGAAGCCAGTGGCTGTAGCCAATTATTGTAACCCATACTCTGAATTTGTCCTCTGCATTTATTCAATCCAAGTGAACACACACACACACACACACACTCACACTCACACTCACACACACACACTCTCTCACACACACATATATATATATATATATATCACACACACATATATATATATATATATATATATATATATATATATACTGTATATATACGTAGTGCTAGTTAGGATGATTAGCTCAATGGGTTACACTTGTGCCAAATTGGTTGATTATCTGATCATGCTCCTGCCGAACCTTGTTAATAAAACATCATTAATGAACAACAATAAAGAATCAGAAAATGTTAAACTCTATCCAAATATCTTTCCAAGGCTGGCATGTTTTAGGCCAGATTACTCTACGTATGTCAACAAATATTAGTCTGTTTAAAAGACACTTAATATTCAGCAATAATATCAATTTGACTGCACTGACACTGATCAGATGAGAACAAAACTTGCACTGAATTGTGCAGAAAACGGTCTTAAAGTGCCCCTATTATGAATATTTCATGCAGTGTGTAATGTCGCCGTATGCGAATGTATATGGTCTGCACAGTTGTAAAGCTAAAAGTGCACAATAAATAAAGTCATTGTCCCCCAAAAGAAATAATTGACTTTGAACAGCCGAAACGAGTCTACATGTCACGGGGTAACACATTTGCATAATGTCCAGCTAGTTTCTACGTTTTCATTTTCTGTAGAGTGTTCAAAAAACGGAACTATGGCAATGGGTTTATGGTTTCCAACACACGCTGTACATGATAAAATTGTAATTTGATTACATTACTGATTACCGCATTTAAAAAGTAATCAGTTTACTAATTACTTTCAAGTTACTTTACTTTTCAAGTTGGGTTATATCAAAGTGAAACTCATAGTTCTTTCAGTAATTTAATATTGACTGAAAAATGACATAAGTATCAAAACAGCAACTTGAACAATCACTTGCACTTTTTCCTGATAACAGCGAAAAGAACTTAAAATGTTTCGTCATTTTTGATCGTACAGATAAGAGTAATACATAATTTGAAACTGTAAAAGGTCTACCTTTATTTGTATACACTCGCAATATCAACAAAGCATTTTGCTTTTGTTAAAAATGAAAGAAAACAAACAGGGTGCGCTTTCTGCAGTAATATCTATATGCAGTTATATAGAAGTTCTGCGAATATCTTTCTGAAACGCGTCACTAAAATGAACGAAAACTCAGCGAATACTTGACACACAGACATGAGAAATATATGTAAAGCTTGATGTGTCTATTTTTAAATGAAGTAAATCATGTCAAAAACAAATATTATCTGATAAAGTCATCCGTATGAAACCAACGAGGCACAGTCTCTCCTGTCTGAGCTCATCTATAATGTTGTCACACCCATGCACATCACGTTCTATACGATAATCATCCATGTGAGACGTGCGAACATGTAAAATCCCACATCACCTCCGTAAAACAAAGTGTAAGATTTATCAAGTTCATTTAGGATACTTTTTGTTTTTGGAAGAAGACACGCTGTAAGGAATAAGCCTTGTATTTAGAATGCGATGCATCGCGTGGCTTGATTCAGCGGAGGAGATCATTTCTGATGAGTATTTTTTTTTACTTATATTATTTACTTATATTATTGTGACATAAACTTGTACACATTTACTAGTTGAACATTTCCCAAACAATAATGCCAGACTAAAATATGTGAAATCAAGTGCACCATTTTGAAATATGATCATTGCATCTAAATGTTGTACGACTGGTCTGCATTTTAGCTCGCATTCACTGGTGATTTATTAAAGGGCAAACTGACACGCAAAAAATGGTTTTAAAATGCATTTTACTTCACATTTTTTCTTAACACCGCATTTGTAACTTAAGTAACATACTTTTAGTGACATTAGTAACTGTAATCAAATTACATAAGTTTAAAATGTAATGCATTACATTACTGCGTTATCAGGAAAATAATTAGAATGCAGTAATGCTGTACTGTGTAAGGCCCTGATCAGACAGAACACGTTTTTTGCAGTGAGAGGCACCTTTTTAAAATTGTTTCCTATTGGGAGTGAGCGTTTTGCGCACTCTTTATGCACCCTGGGTGCCTCGCGTTTTTGAAAAAGTTGAAAAAAAAGCAAGTGTCCTCAATATCAATACACCTGTTAGCTTGAAAGGTAATTCAAAGCATATTAAGAGGACAATTGTACAAATGGGTTATATCAAAATATGACCACAGTCAGTGTCCACAGCACAATCTAGTTCAGCTATCCTCAACACTGGATGAACAAACTAACCCTCTAAAACAACTGTAAGAAAAATGATGAGGACGATGAAGATCTCGATGAAGATGTTTATTGCAGCATATCAGTGACAAAGTAGGCCTACATGTAGTAGGCTACCTTGGGTTCAACGGAGTCAGAATGAACCACGAACATCCTAAGCTCAAACATTTATTCTTCCCGCTTCATCTTCCCGCATGTAAATGAAGTTTCGTCTTAAATGTAAATTGCGGATAACAATGAAAGTGATAGCCTTCCGTTCCCACGTCTTTGATAGTCTTTCAGTTTTCCATCTCGGTGATAAGACTGCTGTCCACAGTCTCTGAAAATAGTTTGATTTCTTTGTTTCTCTTTTCCATTGTCCATTCATTTCTGTTTGGAAAAGTCCTTCTAGCTGTTGTTGCAGTTTGTGAAGTTCTTTTTCTTCTGGAAGTCCCCTGGCTCCACTGGTTTTGCTGGCCTTCTTGTCCTTCAGATGACCGGATCATCTTTCTCCAGGAGGGTACACATTTCAAACAAACATCTCGATGCTTATACCTGAAATGAGATCAAAAAGAAGAGGTTCCCCCCCCCTTTCCCCCACAAGAATCTTTTCACATTCAAAACCAAAGCTACAGAAATTTAATCACAGAATGCAATTCAATCATTTCTCATTAATTAAATTTAAATATTAATGCCATTAACACATTTCCCAAAAATGATAAAGAATCACCCCCCTTTTGATAGTAAACATATTTTCTAAAATATAATACTATCATAAAACTATTCCTACAATTCACATCAGCATCTGCTTGTGACTGAGCTACAGTCATGTTGTTCATGCAGTGCTGTGTCTGGCAAGGTGTGAATGGCTTCTTCCTTATTTCCTTTCAACAGTGCCAACTGGGTTTCTAAACTGCCTATCTTCTTAAGCAAATCACGATAGCTCATCCTTCTTTTGTGTGAAAAGTGACACTGTCTTGCCTTGTGTCCCAAACTTCCACATGCAACCATTTTCATTTCTTTGATCAAGAACCCTCTCATTTCCAGTCTGTCTTGTTCGCACTGGTGCTATTGGGAATCTCACAGACCAACTGTCTAGCTGTCCCTTCATACAAACATCTAAATGTTTCCATCTCTGTTTCAGACTTTGAAATTTCTTTTCTCAATTTCACTATCTGTTCCTTCCAAATTATCTCTTCAGCCTCGCAATTTCTCAATGACATGACATAGAATTTAGCTTGACAATTTAGCAACTTGTTTTCAGTTTTAATTTCTTCTAATCTTTTCTTAGTTACCTTGTATGAGGCAAAAAGAGCTTGAAGTGCATTAGCAACTTTTCCCTCTTTGTTTTTAGGCATTTTGGGACAATTTTTTTAATTGAGACATAGCCCACTCGTACGGGTCATCTGCCTTCTCTATCCCCTCAAACATTCCTACTGAGCCGTGCTTAGCGATGTATTTAACTATCAACTCTTCCATTTTCACAATCTTATTGAATTGTGTTCAGCAATTCAATAGGCTTCTTTTCCTTCACTGTCTGAACATTATCTAGTTACTTTAAGATACCTGTTAGTCGAATTATTCACAGCTCCGGTGCTTTGGCCGCAAATGAATAAAACAGCCACACTACGTCGTGCTTCTAAACCAATTTTTTCACTTCTCCGGACACGGCCACACTCCGTCGGGCCTTACACTACACTAATTGTACCAAAAATTGACCCTTATGACTGGTTTTGTGGTCCAGGGTCACATATTGGCTCTTCATAAAGGTACTGCAGACGACAAATATGATTCTGCCCTTGTTGGTCACGAATATGAATGGATTTTTTTGTGAATGAACTGGTAATTTATGCCCCGCCTCACTACTGCTTCACTCCTGAATTGACCTTGTGCTTTCTGTGGATGCTCTTCACCCTCACGGATAACTCCTGTTGGCCTAGGGAGGGGGGAGTGTCTTAATTCATTCGTATGTGTGCACGTGTGTTGTGGGAGGGGAGTCGGGGGTAGTGAACACAGTAAAATGCCTTATTTATGTGTGCCGTGTAGATTTGTGTGCTGCTTCCAATATGGAGCACTATTGATGTTAGGGTTATGCCGGTATCAAATTTTCATGTTGCGATTAATTGCTAATGCTTTTATCACGGTATGTGGTATTATCACAATATTGAAATTTTGTAAAAAAAAAAGTGCTGTCATAATACAGTGATACACAAATCTGAATGGCTATTTAAATCATTTAAACACGAGTCAGAAACAGAAAGTAGTGCAGCTGCTTTGTTTACAGGGTTTCCAGGGGAACGGCAGCATTTAAATGAATTATTATTATTATTATTTCTGCAGTTCAGCGCCATCTGCTGTCAGAGAGTGAAAGTGTGCTTTCATCCAGAGCGTCTCTCACATGTTCTGCCATGTGCTTCTCGTCCGCGCTTGTTTACATCAGAGTGCGCACGCGTCTTTCACACAGCATACAGCGGTGTTGTGCATTTTGACCAGTTGATGGGAAAAGTATTCTTAAAATGCATTCAAAATTCTGAATAATTTGTAATATATAATTATTCACGGTATTTAGAAGTGCCCATGATAACAATATCGTGCATATTCATTACCGTGATATATCGCATTACCGAATACCGGCACAAGTCTAATTGATGTATTGAACCTGAAAACTCAATGGGCCTCATTCATGAAACACGAGCAGAACGATTTTTTGTGTAAATCATTCGGAAAGTCGTTCTGACGTAAATTTTCGGATTCGTTGAAAATGTTCGCATTTTGAAGATGTTAGTTGGTATGAAAGAAATTTACACCTGCTCACTACCACGTGTAAATGGTGCATAAAACATTAAAACATTCTGTATTCTTTTAGACAAACTGATGACACTGCATTTTTATGAACTATGTATTAGAATGATATTTAACGAGTTCATTTGCCCTGTCTTTTTTTCGTTTTTTACTCTTTAACTTTGGGTAAAACGCAGAGCTCGTTACTGTCCCTTTTTACACAGCCGTCCAATCACAGTGGAGGAGGGGCGGGACTAACATTACATTGACCAACCATGATCATACTTGTACAACATAACAATGGAGAAGTTAATATTGCTGGTTACTGCATTTTTATATTCAGTAATATTCTTCAAAATAAGATACTCGTAACATGTTACTGCGTGAATATTCCAATTCATAGCAAACAACGCGTCACTCCAGAAAAATGCAGTGCCTCCAAAGCTCTCTCAAGCACCACCAGCTGGTCGTTTTCAGAAGAGCACCAGGCTAATGTCAGCTGGCTAAAAACGCTCTGGTGGACACACGTTAATTTATTCATTTATTGTTAGGCATAGCCTATCAGTCTCTTATGCATTTATGCTATATAACTTACCAAAACCTGAGAATTGAGTCCAAGGATTCCACACCATTCCTAGATACGTAATTTGCGTAGCTGTAATTCATAGGCAGGGAATATGCTAATTGTGAATGAGCGTGCATGCGCGCCCTATTTACGAATGATTGGAACTCATTAACATACACACATTTAACTATCAAATCTGACCTTTACGAAGTATTTGTGAACGGACGTAGTGCATAGACTTCAGTGAGGTTCGATTCAATATCACAAATTCTTATCACATATTCATTGACTCCAGCATCAGCTTGGCTAGCCCTCTCCTACCGTGCGTTGAGCTACAGTATGTTGTTCTATGCACCACCTGGAGGATATTGTGTGAAACACGTCAAATGTATTTAAATTTTAAGAAGAGCACCTGCAGGAGACCGCTTGTCCATTAGATTTACAAGTAGGAAATAGTAAATCATCCAGGTATTGCTTACATACTGTTACATGAAGACAAATGATTCTGATATACTACTCATCACATGCACTGTTTTTCTTAATATTATGGAAGTTTGCTGTTTCGGACACAGCTAGTACTTTTTTTGTTCCTAAATAAATCAGCATTTTTGAATGATTTGTTTGATTCAATAACTCGGTCCTAAAGATAGACACCTACTGGCACAATGACGTAAGCTGCAGATTGAGTCAATGTAAAATCTCATGCACGGATGCACAGACTGACAGTCAGTCTGAAACAAACACGCAAACCAGCAACACAGGCAAGCAGAGAAAAGTCCCAGTGCTGTTGATCTGTCACAACCTGTCAGATTTGAGGATGGCTGTACAATGCTAAACAATGATCACAAGTGAACAATAGTTGAAGAACCTCAGCAACCCTATTACATGTAAATCTTTGGTAATCGTTGATAAATGCACACTCACCACCTCCACTGAGCAGCGGACTGAATCTGTGCACAGTGCTTTGAGAGACCACAGGAAGTTCAGTGTCAGCAGATCAGTCTGCTCCCAACAGCTTATTAACAGGCGTACTTCAATGCTTTTTTTCAGAATCAAGGCTTCTCGGAGCATGTTGTCAATGCGTGACCAGTACCTGTTAAAGGACACAGAGTAAACCAGTGTAATGCACTATACTGCTACTACTATCACTAGTGTTATAAATCTAGTAGCCAAGGTTTGGCTTGTTAGCACGATCCCATTAGAACTGCTGGTAGATGTCATAACTACAGCATCTGATTTATAAAAGCTTCTTCCTTCCTACAAGGACATTTAGCAGGTATTCTGACAAACTTATTTATATATCACAACATTTTTATTTCTTATAGTATGTTTTGCCAGTGGCACATTCTCTTTTGGGGGCTCTTAAATGTGTGTAATGAACACATTTTTCCTGTCCGCTGTCTTTGACATCACGGCTCAGGATAATTACTAGGAAAGGCTTTGAGACTATGTGTTTTTGTGATGTCATTAGTCAATTAATGAGAGTTAGAGTGACATGACATTTACTGTTCAGATGACTGGATTTAAAAATAGTTGTGTCCCAAGTTCCCATGAGCCACTTTCAGATTAGCATGGTCCAGGTAAGCCTATTGCTTGAAGCTGGTGCAAATATCTTAGACATTTATTCTGATAGATTACATTTCTTTGCAAGCATCATTCGAATCACAAGTAATATCTATCATTTTAATTTTAGATATTTTGGTCATGTAACAGGACTCACTTGGGTTGGCTGCGGTTGAGCATTGGTAGATAGTTGGTTATGGAGATGTAGATAAATGTCTCAGCCTCTTGAATGACTCTGTTAATGGCCTCGAGGTCTTTCGTCCATTTTTTTGGGCAGAAAACATCTGGAGAACTCTAGCACAACAAACGATAAAAAACTGAATTATTTAACAACATGTGTGTCCAATGTAGTCAGCTTTATCAGTCCTATGAAATAATACTTGCAGTATATTTGCATACAGTGACGTCAGAAAAGTCTCTAAAATCCACATGAAAACTATGATCAACACTGGTCAGTTTCACTGCTGCTGAAGCTTAAGGTTATAAAACCACCACCAAACATAGACAAATCAAATGAAGGATAATTTCCGTGCACCAGGAATTGTTTCTGCTTCTACTAGACTTCAGTTAGATGGAAAATCAAAACACTTCTAACTCAACTCACTGAATAGTATGCTTTTGCTTCAGTGTCATTCAGATGTAGTTGAAGGTTGTTGTCTCTGTTATACAGAGCGTTCAGTTTCTTGGACCATATTGATGGCAAAAAATCTTTATACTGCAGTTGCCAGTAGAGGCTGAATATCTTGTGCAGGTCCAACACCAGACAGCTGCAGTTATAAATAATGATGCCCAACTCCTTCATCTGTGAAAATAACACATCACCTCACTCACCAGACCAATTAAATATTACTAAACAGAACGAAGAACATGCCATATCACATAACTCCAACATATAGATTAATAATCAAATTAACTAAATGGAATTAGTAAAGCAAAAAAAACACCTTTTTTAAAAGAATTTGCATTTAAGAGTAGTGTTGTTCTTTACCGTAGACAGTGACCTCCAATCCATGCCAGCACTTCCTATGTACATGTGCTTCCTGTCCACCACCCAGAAGGAGGAGTTGAGCTGACCTTTAATGAGGGCTTTCATGTTCAGGTAATGCACTTCTGCACCTGGAGGATAAACGAACAAAACATTTCAAAACAGAAATTATGAATCACTGGTTGTCAAATTGTTCACACCAAGTGCCATCAACAGGAAACGTTACCCAGTATAAGCTACTTTGGTGGGATTCCAAAACACAAGAACTCATAGTGCTAATACAAAGACCCTTTGAACTGTTTTGGCATGATTTCACTTTCTCCTGATTTCTTGAGTCCTGCAAGATTCCAGCGGTCTTCCTGACTTTCTACTCCTCCAGATACCCCACTCTTGCCCTCTCCTATGTCTCATCTTGAGTCCCTGGGGTTTATTCCTAAGATTCCAACTCATCCCAATTTAGATGGTTTTATTTGTCTCAAGTTTTTTATGAAGTCTGTAAAGCCACCAGTATTTCCCCACAAAACCCCCAGTATTCCCTCTCTGTCTCTTTCTCCTCTCAGCCATAATTAGCTATACCAAGTCACTTCTCCCACTTTTCACTACTTCTCCCAAACCTTCAGTAGTCCTGGTTTCCCTGCTTTATCTCCTACCATTGCTCTCTAGTCTTCTGCTCCTGAGTGTCCAGTGGTCCTTCTTAATTTTTCGGGAATCCTTCCAAAGCCTGTTGTCTTCAGCTATCTAAAGTATCTGAGCAGATGAGGGCCAGGGAGATCTAAGAAGTAGGAAAAAGCTCAAGGAGGGAACTTGAGGTAGATGTGGATAAATCAGGGAGTGAACCTAAAAAGAGTAGGTATACGCTGTTCCCCCACATTGGGGAAGTCTTTTTTTTATTGCTCTTAAAATTTCTTGCAGGTTTGATTGCAGGTTTACCTGGGTCACTGGTTAGAGGAGGGGAGTCCAATCCTGTTCCTGGAGATCTTCCTGTATACTTCAGGTTCATCTATCAAGTGCTACTGAAAAGATGAGTTAGCTGGTTCAGGTGTGTTTCATCAGGGTTGGAGCTAAACTTTGCAGGACTGTAGATCTCCAGGAACAGGACTGGGCACCTTTGTATTAAGAGTGTTCTCCACAAATCATGGAGTAACCTGTTTTAAAGTTAGCAAATTCCTGTGTCTTTGCATCTTCACACTTGGTCCAAACACAAAGAATTTTACAAGATGGTTTTGTTAGACAGTGGATGCTAAATAATATCATATACTTACCACTCTGAGTGAGTGCCTTGAGCTCTGAGGAATTAGTTAGTCCACTGACCACCTTCAAACTGACTGACCTAGACTGCAGACTCATCAACTGATGGAGTAAGATCTGACCCTGAGGATGACAGAAGAAACAGTCACATTTAAATGCAGTCATATTGGGACGAATCTAGCTCTCTGTAAAAGAAACTCGCATAGACGTAATCAGCAGAGGTGTTGACACTGCAGTATGTTGGGTGTTACCTGTTTGGCCTGGGGAGGTTTTGACTCATACTCAGTAGAGTTCAGTGCCCACCATGGTGACACGATCTCAACAGATCGATGTGCTTGATCCAAAAGCTCATGGAGACCAGCGGCCAGTGAAACTGTGTCCTTATATGGAATGGACAGATCTTCTGGAATATTCTCAACAAGCACAACACTGTGAACACAAGATAATCTATATTCAAGTGCAGGCAGGATTCACTGAGAATGGATATTACAAGGGTAATGATTTCCAATGATTTGCATAGGGTTATTACTGACCAATAATATTGTTTCCAGGTCCAAACCGCTACTCAGTTTCAAGTGAGAACACTCAACAGCCATTTATGAGCACTATTCATTTATATCACACCATTAATCTAAGCTTTTTAAAACTCACAGTGTATACTACAGTCTCTGGCCTTATGACGTCCTGGACACCAATATTTTAAAGATTCAGAAAATATGAATCACTGTGTGGCCAATTGAGAGTTTGGTTAGGATGATGATTTTTCAGTACTACTAAAGCTTACTGTGAGTATATATTAGCATTTTTAATTGTTTGCTACATTGCTTTTGGGATCTGAAGGAGCATGTGAACCTGGAAACAGTGACACGTGATGTCTGTCAGACTTTTGGACTACTTTGTAGTTCTTCCTGTGTTTTCTTTTATGGTCTTTTTCCTGTTCTTGTTTAGTTTGATTACTGTATGATTCCATGCACCTGTGTTCCCCTGATTGCCCTGTGTTCACAAACCCCAGTCTGTTCCGTTTGGTTTTGTCGGGTCTACTCGTTGTGAACGTCTTCCTTGTGCTCTGTGTCTCCCTGTTGGATTATTAAAGACTCTCATTTTGTGAAATCTCCATGTCTTCTCGTTCCTCCCGTAAGCGAATTGTAACAGAAGACCCGACCAATACAGTTACCTCCGTGTGTCTACCCTCCGTTTTTGTTTCCGTTTTTTTCTCTCAGTGTTTTTGTTTCCATTGTGTTTCCCCTTATGAATCCCTTCACCCAGGAATTCCTCCTCCTCCTGCTGGAGCAGGGGGACAGATCTCTCGAGGACCATACGAGACTGTTCCGGCTGTTAGCTAGCACCATCAGCTACCCAGACGACGCGCCGTCGTCCGAAGATGGTCCTTGAGAGGATTTCGCTGCATTTGTGGAATGGATTCCGGCAAGAAACGGATCGCCTCTCACCATCTCTCCCAAGGATGATCTCACCAGATCCACTCCTGACCTAGAGCCCAGCCCACCATCTCCCCGCGGTGCGGAGCATCAGCCCGAGCCCACCGAAGACGGAGAGCCCATTACCGCTGCGATCAACGAGCCAGCGCAATGCCGAGCGACTGAGTGGAGGATCGCCTCGGATGTGGAGCCCGGCCCGTCAGACCAGGTGCGAGAGCCGGCGAGGGGCTCCCGTTTCCCAGTCCAGCCAGGAGTGGGCTATGATCCCCGAGGGCAGCCCTGAGAGCCCGGAGACTCACGAATATATTCCCACCCATCCCTCCCTCTGTTGTATCTACGGTGCGAGGACGCACCTTCCGGGAAGGGGCGAAATGTCAGCCTTTTGGACCCATTTCGCCTCTGTAGTTCTTCCTGTGTTTCCTTTTATGGTATTTTTCCTGTTCTTGTTTAGTTTGATTACTTTATGATTCCATGCACCTGTGTTCCCCTGATCATGTTAATCATGTCTTAATTAAAATCTGATTTGAATCCAATTTAAAACAATGGTTACATCAAACAATTTTCAAAATACATTTTGTTTCCAAAAATACTACAGAAGTAAAGTACAGATTCCCCTCCATAATAAAAATAACATTATATAAAACTCATAATCCTGTCTTTCTGACCCATAAGCTTTAAGAAATTTATATTACACAATCATTTTCTCAACTTAAGAAAGATTACAGACAGTAGATGCTAATGCAAACAGAATTCACAGGAGGGTTGTGGTAGTCTAGTGGTTAAGAATGTTGGCTGTTAAAGGTCCCAAATAAATAAATAAGATTTACTGAGGTCCCAGTTGTGCATTACCACCATCACATGAACTCCAACACTTAAAGCATCCTTGGTGGCTCCAGAGGGATTTCACTTGTACTGAAAGTGGCCTCAGATGAGAAGTGCCTGCTAATGTTTTTTTCTACTGCTAAAGCATGTAGATTTGATCATAGTTCCTATCCTGTTACAGTGCCTGTATATTGAGTCTGTGTAATAGAATATCTTAAAAGGACACATTACCCGCACTCTGTCCAACACTTAAATAGCTCCAAATCAATACTCTCTCTAAATCATATCTTTACAAACACTTATAATTAAGACCATACAAGTTAACCATTAAAAAAAAGACACACCTTTCTTATAAGATTTTATTTGATAATTGGTGCTTTCAATGATAAACCAGAGGAGAAACTGCTTCCCTCATGGCTATGTTTGTTTAGAGTTTAAAAACAAAACAATAGAAAGGAAAAATATCAGTCTTACGACAATGTATTCAGTATTGAACTTTACATAAAAAATACCTAAAAATTACATTTAAAAATGCATCACAAAAAAGAGGGCATTAGCTCATCTGATAGCCTGTCCCCTAATGTGTTATGTAATTAGTAAACATGATTCCAACACATTTTTCAAAATGTCTTCTCATTAAAGCTTTGTCATCTATGTGATGAAGTGCCAGTGACTCTATGAAAATGCTTTGCAGGAATTATGCAGATATTTAACACCACTAAATTGACATATATTAATTTAACAGACAGTTTAATCCAAAGTAACTCACAAATGAGCCAACAATGAAATTTAGCAATGCAATTTAGGAGCCAACAATATTAGCAGTTCGCAGAAGAGAGTAGAGTAGAGCAGAAGGGAAAGTGAAGAAAAAGTGTATGCACGTTGATTTATTAGGCTATTTAAAGTCAAAATTCCAGGCATGCAGGCCACCCTGAACACTAATGTTTGCAGCTGCAGAAGAATGATGTGAATTTGCTGACCACAGAGTCACTGCATTGCGTTGTGATGACACAGAGAAAAAACGATGGGTGAGAAAGTGCAAAACCTTTGCAGATGATAGCTTGGACAGCACGGCAGGACCTTGAAGAACTGTGGCATTTACAAGGAGCTGACCAACTTGTTCTGGGTACTATTCATGGTCAAAGACACAGCACACTGTTTGAAGGCGCCATTATCTGCTTCGCCAGCAGACCTAGACCATCATAGTGATCCATATGAGCTCAAAGGTATTGTGGAGAATCTTAGTCTTCAGTTTCTCTTTTCTGAGGTTTATGTAGAACTGTGCATCATGCTAAATTGCAAGGGGGGAATCATTCATTTTCTAAGATTAGATGTATTAAAAGTGAACTTAAAACAAAATGACACCGATGCATCTTGATTACCTGTCCTTGTTGACAATATAATCAAAATTGAAAAGAATGCTGGACTTCTATTACACTGTGCATGATGCTGCTAAATATATATACATATATATACATATATATACATATATATACATATATATACATATATATACATATATATATACATATATCTCATAGAAGTGAGTATACCCCTCACATTTTTGTAAATAACGTATTATATCTTTTCATGTGACAACACTGAAGAAATGACACTTTG